TTTTCCCGTGCCACATCTGTCATTTTTGTAACGTATCATTACACAAAGGCAATTGTTTTACCAAATATCACACAAGAGAAAAATTGTAAAGTTATTTATGTCTAAATAAACAAAGGTTTGATCAAATATATATATAATTACATATATTAATATAAATACGACTATACGTTAAGGTAGAGACATACTAACGAGTAGAGTTGAGAGTCTTTCTAGTTTACAATTTTATAGTTTTGATTGATTATGTGTAACCGTATCGACGAGTAGTACGTTAATAATAGAAAACGTCAGGATTTAGGAAATAAAACCAACAAAAAATTGGGCGAGAAAACTGAAAGTAGTAAATTTTTTTTATAGTGACTTACAGAAGTTTTTACACTTTTTCATTTTATTTTATTTTATTTTACTTTATTTTATTTTATTTTTTAGAACTTTATTTTGTTACCGACGCAAGTGAATTGAACTTGGTGCCAGTAAGCGATAACATACATCATAGGAGTCGCTATCAGAAAAAATTTGCAAGTTTCTTGTACCTTCAGATAATTCTACGACATCACGTAAGGTATAGGCACCAGTAATACACTTGGTATCAGTAATTGACCATTTTTCAGGAAACCGTAAAAAATAAGGTTTCTGAAAGTAATAATCTTTTAATAAAGATGTGATAGATATGCTGCAGAGTCTATCGACTCGACTTCGAAACACTTTTGCCTGAATAAAATTGTTTATCGTAAAAGCTAACAATTTATTTCACTGACGTTGGGTGTGCCTTCAATTTCCAACATGAAATTAACTTCTTTTCATTCGTATTTATCCTTTTACTTGTAATTTGCCATAGTCGTTCCAAATAAACAATATCAAAGTAATCACCTTTAGTGTTTTTAGTTTTATTATAAGTAGTCAACTAATAACATATGGTCAATTACTAGTTTTCTTGTTTTAAAGGATGGTCAACATCCAATCAAATTTAAGTATTGAATTTTTAAAAATGTCTATAAAATTCGGTTAATATAACTATTTCAAAAAGGTTCGCCTTGTTAGATAATGTAAGAAGTTCAAACAGTATTTTCACGCATAGAGTCTCTCTATTTTATAAATAAGCAAACATTTATTATTATTCAAGTAGAAAATTTTTCTTAATTGGTCAACAATTGGTGCTTTCACCTCATTTATAAACACTATAAAAACAAATTTAATACAAAATTAGTGCACTTTACTGCATCTAAAAGAAATAAATTACCTTATTTGTATCTTTATGAATTTATAATGTTTTACTGTAATCAGTTTACTTATAATTTCATTATGTTCCTTTTTATAATTCTGGAATACCTTATTTGTAAATAAGTGTTCGTTATCCTTGTTTATTTACATTGAGCAATGTTACGCATTAATTAAAAGTACTACAATATATGTTCGTGAAAATATAAATAACTTAGTCGTATTTTTCTTATCTTTCTGACCAAGTAGGCATCAGTTTTCTGAAAAAAACATTGAAAATATAAATTTCAATCGATATTAATATGATTTGCCGCCACATGAGAACATTTTGTATTGTCTTTTGTTATAACAAAAAAATTAAACTCATCGATATTATTATCAAGATAAATAAAATGCAGCAATTTCCTACTTCACGTTAATAACAGCTGCTTCGTTAGCACGTTGTGCAACTGGTTCGTGATTTCAGGGTTACAGTCCCATTGATATGATTAATGCTTATCTAGAAACGTATCAGCGAGCACAATTACTACGATATAATTGATATAATTAAATTTACAAGAATCTTATGTCATGAATTTCTAATAGTTTCACATTGTGTGTGGTTACTAGGTCGATGTATACAACAGGGTATTACGTATACTGTTTCATTCATGAGGTCAGATCGGTTAACTAATCGTTAATTCAGATTCATAAAGAGTTAACAAGGCAAAAAAATTAGAAAACATTTGATGAGTGTAACAACAAATACGGTTCTTTGTGTGCTAACTACAAATTTTCTTTCTTAGGTTGTTGCTTTTAAAGAATCACGAGTTAGAATTGATACAATCGAACGAAAACACTTAAGCACGGCTATTTAACGCGATAATACGGAACGTGATAGATAACGATTTTTATAAAAGATACGAATTTTCAGTTATATATATTCTTGGTGTATTGTTCAAATACATGTAATAATATATTTGTATATACTCTGTAAAGAATTTGAAAGGCACATTATTTATTATTTTACTTAAGTAATGAATATTTGGTAAGAACGTACTTTTAAGTGTTCTTAAAATGTGCATATATTGTTCAAACAGTAATTTAATTTAATGTCCCTTGTTCATTGGATTTATTACGATTTTTTTCTATCATATTACTCGATTACCCTTTATTTTAATTTCAAATTAATTAGATTAATTATGCTAACTTTACCATTTTTTATAGTAGTATGAATTCATTTAAAATCTTATATAAAAATTCAAACATTATTTTATTAAACCATCGAATCATTCTATCAGTATAAAATGAATTCCTAAGATTGTAAATCTAAAGATTTTGTAAAATGTCCCTAAAATGGTTATGTTGCCATACAACAAATTTTTTAATCAGAATACTTTAAGATTCATAGTTTTCAAAATATCTTTCTCCTTATAATAATTAGACAGTGTTAACATTAGAAGTCAGAGAATAAAATTTTATTCAAGTTATTTCAACTTACAAAAGAAGAATGAATATGAAAGCTGATTTTATATAATCAGCATTTACCATTTCCGTTTTGAAATCCACATTACTTCATATTTTGTCCTTCAAATATAATTGTAGATCGCAGAATTGCCACGATACTTGGTTTCTCGTATTATTTAGGTATATTTAGTGTCTACTCGTGTACATTGGAATATTGTTCTGCAATTTGCTTCCTGTTATCTACCGCCTAACTAAGGTGGGGCAGCACGGTATCTGCGATATCGCGAAGAACTCGTTGTTTCGAACGGTATATATCTACATCATTCCTTAAAGATTCTGATAGCAGTCTTCCTCGAATCAGAACATCTCGAAAGTGGTGACGTCTTGGAAGATGGTTTTTATGTAACAGTGATCATACTTACAATTACTTTTTACCTGATAATGTACTACGCGTCAGCATCTGAAATACTGTGTTACATTTAGGTAATTCTCTTCATTCTCTTTTCAAACAGTATTCTATAGTTTTATTATAAAAAACTATACTAGTGAGAATTTAATGAATGTAAACTCCAAATCCGAGCATTTGTTAAAGTTTGATAATAACGTTTAATATTTATTAACGAAGCCATAATCTTCTATAGTATAAAGCTGTTAAGATGATAGGAAATTCATTTAAAAAGTTATTTGAAAAACGAATTGTCTTTTTCTTAAAATTGAACGCATTAATTGAGATTTCATCAGAAATGTCAGTTATATCAGTGTTTCTATTGTGTGTTACAAATATTTCGCATAAGTACTACCTACGTAAACCGCTTGTTATTAGTGAAACTTTCTTCAAATAGAATTCTGCTCTTACGCAAGAAAAGAACTTCAACTACGAGTCTTTATTGCTTTGTGAATTTGGAACAATGGCACAGTTAATATGAGTAATTGTTCAGAGTTTTTATACGGTAATATAATTCATGATATAATTATTGTTATATGTACTTTAGATACTAATGTTGTTTAGGAATGGAAGAAAATGTAAATTATATAACATAAAAGCAAACAATATATACATATATAAAATATACATAAAAATGTAACACTGATTGTTTCTTAGTATCAGAAACGCTGATATGACACTAAATAAATTTTAAAAATGTTCAACTGAAATTAAACGAATATTCTATGAGTTATGAGAAGAGGTAAATATTTATTAGTTATTATACTTTGTAATTTTATTCGAGATTTATATTAACTGTATGTCTTAAACTATACTATATTAACGTTAAAACCTATTTCAAAATGATATTATAAAATTTCACGATAAATTTCTGAGTAAAAATAATTTACAAAATATTAAAATAATATTTTCTTGATACGAGATTTTTTGCTACACCTATGTATCGATATTTACTTTAAAAAAGTAAGTCTTCAGGAAGTTTAACTGATTTGTTCAGTGTTTGAAAGAGTCAATTGTATATGGATTCTTCGAAGTGTCGATTATCAGTAAAGTAAAACCATGTTTCGAGAAAAACTGATTTTGGACAGATGTTTACGTTTGCGTACAAAGCAGAAGGTGATCGAAAATCGAAGCATTTGATCGGAAAGATCGAGAAGATAGAGGCTTCCCTCGGATTGATTACTTAAAGGTGCTTCCCTTTCTTGTAAAGATGCTGCACTTCCGCTTTTAAAACCGGTCGGGATGTGCTCGAACCTAACTCCGAAACCGCATACGTTGAATCTAGGAACTTACGTACTAGCTGGTAAAGAAGCTTTACATAATTTTTCTCCGCGAAACGTGTATTAATGGGAGATTAAAGGAGAACAAGTTTTTAATTGCATGCTTCATGCATGTATGATAGGTAGAGAAGTTGTTTGAAAATAATGTATCATTCATGATCGAAACATGTACATTTTCCAATGTATTGAAATTAAACGTAGAAAATTCGATTGCAATAGACTACTAAATATAAATTCTCCAATATATTGAAATTAAAATGTATAAATTTCGATTCAAATAGAATTCTAAATTAAAGTAACAATGCTATACAAAAATTAAAAGTCATGAAATTCTGCATAAGGTAATACAATGTCTTAAGCAGTTTAATTATTTCACACTACAAATACAACTTCCCATTCTGGTAGAACCAAAATTATTATTTATGAATATTTCTCTCTTGATCTACTTCTGGATCACTTTTATCATTAGGAATAAACGTTAAGAAAATTCAATTTTTATTCATTGAAATTTGCATTCCTAAAGAGAATTGTTTTTATTCACTATTGTTGAATAAAGAAAAATTGAAATCTGCAGCGACCATTTAGCTGATGCAAAAAATCTTTGTTAATTATAGGAGGCAAAATGAAGGTCCTAGCAGCTGTGCTGCTGACCGTCCTCTCAGCTGGAATCGTTGCTCCGACTGTGACCTCATCAGGGAACGTTACTGCGAACAGTGCCGAAGAGTCATTCAAATCAATAGCTTTGCACAATGATTCCATGCACACCATCCCTGTGTCGGATAAATCTGCTTCCATATCGCACACGACTATTGTAAGAAATAAACCAACGCCACGTGCTAGTCAGAGAACAATAGCGAAAACAACATCGAAATACGATGACGACTCTGCTGAGCAAAGGTTTTTGAGGGAAGGGGAAGAAATCCTGCATGCAAAGGCCTTGATTTTAGAAGAAATCCGAACTTTAGACGAAGAAACTAAGGCAAACGTGAGTATTTTGATATACTTTATACAAATTATTTCTATTCCTCTATGTCGTTAATTTTCTTTTCAATAATCAATTGCGATGATTGACATTTTTTGATATTTATAAAATATCAAGTAACTGAAATAATAATTTCGTATGATTTCATATATTTAGGGAAAATGGTGTAACAGAATGAAAGAAGTCAACACTGAAAGAAAGTTGGGACAATATTCGTCTGAACGTTTTAAAGAATGCTTTAACAATAGAACTACCGATCTTTTAATGTGATTAATATGTAGATTTCTTTCGATTTCTTTGTACACTGATTATAGTATGCAAATGAAACTATTTATTTTTTAAATTATTTTAGATATTTAACACCTGTAAAGTATCAATAATTGCGAAATAAGAAACCTGAAATCCGTCATTTTGACGGGCATGGTGGTTGTAGTGTTAACGTAAAGCTTTAATTTAATTCAACTCGGTCTGGAAAAATAATATTAATTTGAATAGAAATGTTTATTTTAAATGTTTATGATTGCCATGCTATTCCAATCAAATAATATGAGGCTCGAATAGTTTGATATATAGTGCATAACTATTACAATTGCCACATTGGTGTACATCGGTAGTATTCGTTTGAAGTACAAAGTGGAATACTTTCACTTACCATTTCAACAGAATAGGATTCCTAACTTTCGAATTAATTAACGTTTATTTCATCGACATAAACATTGCTTTGTGTAAGACCTTCTTCAATTTATTATACAGCTCGTATTAAAACAAAGGTATAACAATATTTTGTATTTACACATAATTTTCATTACAAAATCCGCAAAATAATGTTCGCTCGTTTGAGTATTATTTTTTCTGTTCTTCTCTTAATACCAATATTATAAACGCATGCATAGGAATGATTTATTGAACTTACGTGACATCCACTGTTTTACAGTCTCCGTCGCATCGTTTAAGCAGACATTGATTAATAAAAGAAAAGAAAACGATATACCTAGTTCTAAAGTTATCACTTCGCTAGCAACACTTTATGCAGTTTTGTTATAGGTCTTCAGTTAAAACTTAACCCACTGAAACAGAGTTAAAGGTAACGAGAGAATTAAATATTCTGAGATTGACGTTGAGAGATTGAATATTTTAGAATTAGTCTTCAAGAAAAATTGATACAAAACTTTAAAAAATAATCCTAAAGGAAATTAAACATTATTTAACACGAAGTTTGATACCTTCACTGATATTACATTATACAAATTTGTTGTTCATAGATTTCATAATAATTATTTTTCATGAAACTACTTTTTGTAAACTTCTGTTTCTTTAAACTATTTGGATTAACTCTTGCCCATATCAATATTTAAAAAGTGTTTGGTTATCAATTAGTATAAGAATAATAAACTACGCTATCGGATTTCCATTTCACCATAAAATTCTGTATTATATCAAGCGGAAGATAATAAAAATATTATTTCGGATGATCCTGATTTAATTTTCCGTTTTAATGGTTACAGAAAACAGTAGAAGAACCCATCAAAAAATCGAAAGTGGACGGTCGAAGAATTAGAATATCTTTCTCGCCGCCTACTGCGAAATCGACCACTGCGAAAAACAGTGATGAAAAAGGTAACATTACGGAAAGTAGTGTTATCAAGAAATTATTTGAGGCTGAGGATGCATCTTATGATGATATGAGCGAGGAAGAAGAAGATGAAAACGATGAATACGACGAAGACGAGGAAGAAGCTATGGAACTTGACGACGAGGAGCAAGTGCTGACAGGGTGTCCCGATTACTGCAAATGCGCTGGAGAATACGCATCTGCAACAACCGCAACGTACGTTGACAAATTGTCTATAACTAGTAGCTAAAAGCACTACGCTTAGCTACAAAGTTTTATTCAATCAAAATTATAATTCAGAACATCACATTCGTTTTTCAAATAAACATAAGAAATATGAGTGTTTACTAAATCTGTTTTGAAGTTGTACTTACATTTCTTTGCATTATTTTAAGTATAATATTTAGTACTAGGTTGTGTAATATGAAATGTCAGATATTACAGAAAAAGGGAAACCTTATTTGATTTTCTAAAAGACGTTTCAATGAATTCAATGAAAATGAGTAAGTCAAGCGCAATATATTGAAATTTTTTTTTCTTGTTAAATTTTACTTTGAAGAGATGAAACAACCCCTTGAAAAACATACAAATTTTTCTTTCCCGTGGAGTATCTTCAGAACGGTAAGAGATAGTAAAAAAAGTCTAAACCAAAAACACGTTTTTCTTTTACATCCATAGAATTGCAAAATAAAACTTTTCAATAAGTTAGTTTTCAAAATTTTGATTTTGAAAATAATTGATTTGAAAATTTTATTTTGCAGCTTTATAGACGTAAAAGAATAATGTATTTTTATTTAAATTTTGTTTCGCTATCTTTTACCGTTTTCAAAGTAATCCAGAGAAAAGAAAAATTTTCATTTTTTTCAAGGGGTGCTTTCACCCCTTCAACGCGGAACTCGTATTAGGCTTAACTTATTCTACTTGTACAAAATTCCATAATTTTTTTAATGTCCAGGTGTGATATCTTCCCTTGTAAGAAAAATCTATTTCATATTGCACGACCTAATACAATTCATCAACACAAATTCTATATGCCAATGTATACTTATCAGATTTTTTTAATTGAAAAATTCTCATTTTATGTCTAGATGCACTAAGCTTGTGGATGAACAAGAGTTTGGCACAAGTGTCGCTCATTTGCGTGTCGAAAATGCGGGATCGATTACTCTTGGCCCTCATGCACTGCGATCTCGAGGTCTTCAACACTTAGAGTCCTTTATGGTCACCGATACAAAAATCGTCGAGTTGAATCAGACCGCGTTCGATGGCGTGACGTATTTGTTCTCTGTGAATCTAACGCGCAACGACCTACAAGAGATACCATCGAATATATTCCAAAATAACACGCAGCTCACATTGCTCTCCATTACTCGAAATCCATTGAAGCATACTCAAGATTCGAAATCGTCGAAACACGGCCTGTTCGACGCTCCATCCGTTACCGAATTCGACTATTCTTACAACGGTTTGACGAAACTCAAACGTAACGCATTTGTGAAAATGTCGAACCTGATTTATATTAATCTGAAAAATAACAAGCTGAAGGAAATTGATAGCGTGACTTTCAATAGCCTGGAATCGCTCATGGAAGTAGATCTCTCGAACAACTTGTTGAACGAGATACCTCGTGACCTATTTTACAAAAAAGGAGTGCAGACATTGCGCATTGCTGGTGAGATTCTGTTATTTATTTACATTTTTTGCAGCTTCCTATTTCAGTAAATTGTTAAACCTGTTTCAAACTATTTACTTAACTGTAGTTAAACTGAACTTTATTTCTTGTTCGCCAAAAAATAGTTGAATAAAAATTTTAATAAACTTGATTATTTTCCCAGTATTAAGATAAGCATGGCGAGATTTTTAATAAGAGGTTCCAGTAACGAAATAAAATTCTGTTTAAGTAAAAATTCATTAAACAAATTTTGTTCTTAATATTTTTCACATTTCTTTAAAAGTGAAAAGTTTTTCAAAGTATAGAAGCTTACTTCGACTATCTAGATATAACAAACTTGAAATGATTAAAATACGATGAATAATTATTGTGATCGTCGCGGCAACGATGCATAATAAATGCAATAGTGTAAAATAATGTAAAACGTAAACAGTTTTACTTCGTATTTTTTTAACTTGAACGTTCATAAAGTCGTATCAAAATTCTACTTAATTTCTTAGTATCCTTCTCATCCTATATCTATAATTTCGAAACGTTGTATTTTTAAAATACTTTACGGTAAACATTTCTTTCATTTACAGGAAATAATTTGACAACATTGGCCACTATACGTGCATCGGAACTGAGAATACTGGATGCGTCTAACAATAAAATTAGAATAATAGCACGTGATGACCTTTCCGCTATGCCATTATTGGAGCAACTAACGCTTAGTTCGAACAATATTAAGAGGATTTATCCGTCCGCTTTCGCTGGCCTCGATTTCCTTGCCTATCTCGACATTAGCGATAACGAATTAACTTCTTTGACGGAACATCATTTGCTAGAAAATTCAAGATTGCAAGTTGTGTTGCTGAATAATAATCCTGGTTTAGGAAGCTTGCCAGTATTTAAAACCAGAGCATCATATGAGGGTTTCAGGTAAGAGTTGCACTACTATTCTTACCATTATAATGACAAATAAATAATCCAGTAACAGACACAAAATTATAAAATAATATGTAGCAGAGAAGACAATGGTAAAATAATACATACTTCAGTTCCAGTTTGAAATTTTATATTGTAAAATTGATTTGAATTAATTAAAATATATTTTACTCCTATTATTTTATTCTGAACTCTTATTTTTATTGGACTATTATTGAGAATCGATAATGGTATCTTCTTATCTTCTATTTATATTATCTTGGTATTTGTATTTTTTATCTTTTCTTCTAAATTTTATTTATTTTGATGGATTTTGGGGACAGTCATTGTTCTGAGTATTGGTATTTGTTTATTATATTTTCTTTTGTTGCGATTATGTCATTAGTTTTGTCATTTGTCCTCTATGGCTTCAGTTAAAAAATAATTAATAACTGAAGACTATTACTAGTATTTTAACGAATATAAATTATAAAGTATGTATATTAAAGCAAACAATTTTTGTAGCAATATGGAGCAATACAGATCATTAAAGGAACAAAGCTTATTTTACCCTTTTAGAATTCAAAATTGATTTAACCACAAGGAACGAAATTTAGGAAATCTAACTCACTTAATAGTTGCACTTATGTACACATTTTTTTAGGTGAAGAACTTGAGCAGTCTGTATCCTCCAATTTGGAGAAACTAAACAATGAAATTTTTTAAAATCTTCTAAATAAAAAATCTTCTAGAATGCTCATTATTATATACTAAATTACCCTAGATTATTATATTCTATAAACCGTTTCACAAGTTTTTATCAAATCTTATGTTTTTACGCAATTAGAACATTTTTAAAGAACGTTTTTATTAATTGATATTAGCAACATTGATTATTTATCTTTTACAGTGTCTATCGTTTCGAAGCTGCAAACTGTGGTTTACGTGAACTTCATGAGGACACATTCAAACATATGCCTGCAATCACGAGATTGAACCTCTCTAAAAATACTCTAACTGGCTTACCAAAGGGACTTGTGGGTAGTCTTGCTGCTTTGAGAATTCTTGATCTTTCCGACAATATGATCAATACTTTAGAGAACGACATGTTCAACGGCGCGAAGGACTTGGTTAAGATCAGTCTCGCTGGCAATCCTTTGGTAACATTACAAGTAACACCGTTCTTAGGGGCTCCTAGTCTTAGCAAGATCGATGCTAGCAGATGCGCTTTGGAGAGAGTTTGGAGCGAGGCCAGAGTCCCGCTAACCAGTTTGAAGTAAGAAACGCATTTTCAGTGCATATGGCTGACTCATTTCTTTCCTTTTTTTTATTTTCATCTTTCCTTATTTTCTTTTTTCTTGTTTTCTTCTTTTTTATTTTCTTTTTTCCTTCTGTTATTTTATTTTTCTATTGTTCTCTTCCCCCTGTCTACTTTTTTCTTTATTTTCTTTTCTTTTCTTTTGCGTCTTATTGTAATACGTTCACGATCAACATTTGTTTCACTGTCAATATTCATAGTTACAATACTTTATTAAATACGACAAATTTGTCTTTATAAAATGCAAATAACACACAAAAAGAATCGCGTTATCTTCCTACACTTTATAACATACGTTACAATTTTAGACACAAATACACTTGAAAATAATTTAATTTTTTTTAATTAAAGTATAAAATGTTGAGCATCAAAAATATGTGATGCTGGTCGTGAACGTGTTAAACCCTTTAAATTATGACGATCATTGAAATATAGCTATATTAGATACTACCTATCTTCGCTACCTTTAAAAAATTCAGGAATATAAATTAGCTGATTTGAATTTAAAATATGTAACTGGAAAACATTTTTCCCGGTACCTCCATTTCGCGTATTTTCTCTAAATAAATTTAAATGCTAATTGTAAAATGAGAAAAATAATTAAAGAAAATAAAATATTTGTAACGAGATTAATTAAAATTTGAGACAAAATCTAAAGACAAAATTCAGATACAAAACTATAGGTTTAAGAATGAAATAATTGCTTGCAGAAATATTCCGAAAACGTTGAATGAATTTTTTTTAAATGAGACTACTTTCTAGACAATCAAGTTTAATAACGTTTATTGTCGTGAAGTGTTTAATAAAATACTTTGTATGTCTCAAAGAACTAAAAAGACCTAAAGCACACCAGAGCTTCGCACAGATAAATTCTTTTTAATTATTTAATAATTTCTCATCTACCCAAATTGATATATTATAAATTTAAAAATGTTCGAAACATTATGAAAGATAAAAATTCAACATGTTACACAGCACTATAAATATTCTTTTAATTTTATTTCCAGATTCTTGTTAGTTCGCGATAACCTTCTGCGCCGAATCACGGTAGAGGAATTGAAAGCAACACCGAATATTGTTGGTATAAATTTGTCGCACAATCCTTTGGACTGCGATGACGAATTTAATGCTGCAATACAATGGCTCACAAATCGTGGAGTTTCACCAATGGAACCCTTCAGGTATGTATTTATTTCGAATACAAGCTACATAAAAGGTATTAAAACTTATTGAACTATATAGAAACAAAGAGTTTATTCTGTTAACAAAATTTAAACAATTTAATTGAGAATTGAGATCAATTCTGGGTTAGCATGCAAGTGTTTAACATAAATAAACTATTAATGTTAAATACTTTCATCTATTAAAAATCATGTTTGATATGTGATACAGTGTAAAGTCCATCTCCATTCAAGTTATGATGAATTAAAAAATGGATTAGAATGCGGGAATTTATGTATTCGAGTGAGAATGGATCGTATATAAATGATTAACGTGTGTGCAATAAATGAATGGCACGACTGTATGTGTGCGTACATTTTGAATAAATGTTCAAGGCATTGGAATATTCTAGATTAAATTGTTTTTTTCTAATATTGACCTTTTATGTTAATGATGTTCGTTTTTAACGAATCTAGAATAATCCGAATGTACGTGAAGTTAATGCATGGTAATGAAAGAATGCTCTAGAAAGTGTACGAGTGAGATGAAAGCATCCGCGCGCGCGCGCGCGTGTGTGTGTATTGTGCGCCTGATTTGATTTGGTATGATTATTTTATTATGAGTCGTAAAGAAAACATACTGTTCAAATAAAATATTCTCTTTCTCCTGCAATAATGAAGATGAAATTACTTAATCACTCTATTATTTTTATATAGCAAGTAAATTAATATTAAGTTAATTTAAATTTTAAATTAAAAGTTAAATTATTAAGTTAAATTTAATTTTATTATAATTTGTACGATAAATTTTTCTAAGTTATATATTTCACAGCACTTGGAAACACAGTTTAATTCTTAATAAAGAGTTTTTATGAACCTTCAGGTAATTTCACGGAATTCTTTACAGATATCTTAATAATTATGGCAACGGCGATAACTATCAAGATTCTGATGGTATCAGCCAATGGACAGATCTGGCGAAAGTAGTCTGCCAGGATGTTGACGATGGACCACCAGACAGGCAAATCATAAGCAAGAAAAAGACACTGGTAAATAGACTCGATGAACTTGATTCATCAAAAGACTCCGATGCCCTTTTCAGCAATGGTTTCGAAGGCGATGAGGTAAGTCATCAAAAATCTTTTCTCATTTTCGTTAATAATTAGGCATTATGTACACATATACTATAACAAGCTTTAATTTTTTATCGTTATACACTATTTTTTCTTATGCGAAATATATATTATATTTGCGCTAATTTGAAAATATTACACGAATAAAAATCGTAATAAAACTGGTAAAGTAGATGTTCATTTTAATTGTAACTTTAATAATTTACTGTAGAAATTCTGAGAAAGAAACAGTTCTTTATTGTAATACTTTCACATATATCTACTTACATGACATTAAGTACTTTCAGTTTAAAGTATTTTAAAAAAACATTTTTAGATTCATTGCTTTACATTTTGTTCTTAGTGTACTTTTTCTACATTAAATGCATTAGGTGTATATTATAGAAAATTAATGCTATATTTTATTTTATACAACAAAATATACCTGATTCGTATTTAAACCTTTCGTGAAAAATGCTACAGAGGAAAACTAGAATACTACTTCGACAATTTTTATACAGAAACGCATTACACACATAGTGTGTAATATTTAAAATTACACATTATTTGTTATTTTTAATAATTGAATAAAAGTGTATTTTCTAAGTTAATGTTAATGAAACTTTGTTTGTCCTAGGATCTGCTCAAGCTACAAATCGACCATGGCGTGAACTCCGATGCGGAATTGGAAAAATACTGGAAAAATGTCCAGACTACTCAAGATCAAGAATACGAAGATTTCGTAGCTTCAGAAAACACCGAGTACCGTCCATGGTACGCCAGTGCTCTTTGGCCTGTGGCGATGATAGTCATCATAACGGTGATGTGTGTCTTCCTTGGGGTGCATATCGCGTTCTACTTGGCGAAACGACGAGGTGGAGGTCCTGTCCTTAGGCCACCAATGATCCTGCGTCCAGGATTGATCGATAACAAGAATTGTGGATTGGTTTACAAGCCTCTTCAAGAGGAAATCGCTACGCCGCACATGCCGAAACGAGGAAGCTTTTATTCCAGTAGCACATTCCACTACGATAAGATCGTGCCAGAGAGTGTTTAAAGATTACCAACATAATTACCAATCAGTTGATGCGATTCGAGTTAATTAGATCATGGATAGGTGAATGAAGAATATTTTGTACAAATCTAATTGGCAGGATACATTACTGTTCAAACGTTTGGGGTTGTTCCCTATGTAATCAAAAACAAGTCGGAAATGAATAAATAAAATATATTTGCGAATTAGGAATTTGTAAATGGTTTCGAGAATACTTTTCTTTGAATACTGTGGAAATTGCAATAGGACGCAAGATCAAGTAACGACTTTAAACTTTTGAGCAGTGTGTTGTCAATTGGCGTGCCATGCACGAAGATATTATGTAACTTGCAGCAGTGAGTTTTTCTTAATAAAACGAAAAATTGATTGAAAAATATCTACAACGAAAGATGTAACAGATTTTATGCCAATTGAATTTATTTAAACATACGTAATGAGTGTAGCGATGAATAAAACTGATTTTTTGAAGTTACTGATTGCGGAAGGGACGCATTCCTCGATTTGCTTGATGTTAGTGTATTTGCATATTACGTTTTACAATCGAACCAATAAATTTAACGTGAAATTTGTTCTACATGAACAATCAGTATTTCGCTTCTTTATCGGAATGGTTGATTTTTACAAGAAAACGAGAATGGAGTCATTTTAACTTAATTCTAGTTGTATATTTAACTAGTAATGCATAATTATATATTCGTTACGTTTATTAATAATCATTGAGGGGATGCAACTTTGGGCAATAGGTAAATCGCTACTCCAAAACTGATAAACATACGGATATGAAAGTAGGGTCAGAAGTAAATGATCGAGGATGTAATAATCCTACGTTTTAAATTAGGATGGATTGCCCACAGTCGTAGTAATATATATATAATAATAATATAAGACTAGTGACTTTTAATCGCAGTGACCACAATGTCTCGTTCAAGCCATGAACATTTAAGTATTTACAATTAAATACCGCATATAATACTAAGAAAACTAACGTGGCCTAGTATAAGTAGTACGTTATTATGTACTATGTATTGTGCTACATACTGTAAATAATGTATAACGTTTTAATAAAATTTTGATTATAGTAAATAATTCGACGTTCATCGAATTTATTTTCATGTTGCTCAAAGTTTGTATACTGAATACACAGAGCAAACAAATTTTAAATAAAAATCGCATACATTTTAAACACAAATAAAAGTACTAATTTCTTTTATTTTAAAAGAACGGTATATTTTTAAAGGAATTGCAATCTCCTTGCAACTTGCTTATCATTATTTTTTTCAAGTATAAGTATATATATAGATTTAGGATATAAAGATACAGTTATTCTGTTAATTTTCAATCATTGAACAACCTGTCTGGTCTGATTGGGATGTTATCAGAGGTAAAGCGCAGACAGTAATTAGTGACACATTCTTAGCACTTTCGCTACCAGAGCTTATTTCGGTGACGGCACCCTCAATTATAATATTTGCTTCAATCCAATAAATCTTTTAAACAAAATATTAGAAAAATGAAACTGAAACGAGTCATTGAGTTCCTAAATATAATGTCTTAGATTATAATTTCTAATAACAATATCTAAGATGGGATAGGATTAATTTCATTTTCATTATGTAAAATATAAGATTACAGCCGTCACAAACATGTGACGCTGGTAGCGAATGTGTTAAAGTGGTTGCTACTGTTTATATATTAACGTTTTGAATTGGTCTGTCAACACAGTGTGATAACGCAAATACTAAATAAAAGAGATAATCAAACAGCATATAGATAAATGATCGTATGAAACGAAACTTCACTTGTAATATCGTAAGTACGTTTTGTGAAGATCAAAATTTAATTTTAAATGATTAAATACGTAATAAACGCAAAGGTAGAATGTATAATATCATTCTAACAATTCTAATGTGATTTAAGAAACATTATTGAACTTTCACAATATATGTTTTCCATTCGAAAAATATGTTTTAAATCGATATACTATATTATAAATAATTAGTATGTACTTCGAAATTAGGATTCTATAATAAATCAATTTATTAGAAATGAAAGAAATTCAACATACTTATCATACATATTAAAATGTTTATCAAAATTTGATCAAGCTGCTGTTGAGAATTTCACAAAATTCTCAATACATTCGACAAATTATTCTTTATCATTTTCATCTGTAACGTATTAATGATTAAGTCATTTTCTTCTACTCGAAAATTTTCATACGAATGTGATTATGAAAATTGATACGGCACTGTTTGCGCTGTGTACGTATGTGGTGCTATCGCATCAACATGCACGGATAACAAGAGGCAAAGAAGAGAGTGTACGACCAGTCGCCGGAGAACGGAGCACAAGATATCAACGACGAAATCACATGTGTTCCAAATCACTGATTTTTCTTCAAATTACTAATCTGTTCTATTGTTCTGCTTTCTTTTATTAGAAAATGTATCCTCGAAGACGTGTCGTTGAACTGCTACAGGTCATTTCCTCCCAGTCGTAAGTAAATATTAATAATAGTTTTATAAGCTTGTGACGTTGACAATTTAAAGAGATTTGCACGAAGAAACACTTCAGTGGAACTATGTCATCAATATTGTACCTAAGCAGATAAACTATTGGACTATTTTGATAATAAAACGATCGCTACATTCAGTACACTGTAGTAAAGCAGACTTAAGAAAATATTGTTAATTTAAAACTCTTAAGTATAGTTTCATTGAATTAGGACGTTAAAACAGGT